AAAGATTTGGGTACTTTATACAACAGAACATTATCCAAGATACTAGATCGTCATGCACCACTGGTAACAAAAACGTTCATAGCAAGACCTTTTGTACCATGGTAGAATGATGAGGGTCAGGTCAGGGGTAGTCCTGCTACTAGTGACATTGTAACCCTTATCCACCTGCCTCATAGACGGATAGTCGGCGCCTAAAATGGCTCCCCCACCAGCGTTCGCTGGTGAAAAGAATGCAGCATGCCACCCTCGAGGACTTAAAATAAGACCTGTTAAGAGTGCATCCACGATAGGACCAGGCAGGGGCGGCACAAGCCATGTAACCGATTTGGATGAAACGTGGCCAGTTTGAAGGGGTCCACCCAAAACTACTTCACTCTAAGTCTAAGGAAATTTGGTCGAAACCGGGGGGAGTTGACCACCCCCCTTGTTTTTTAAAAAAAAAATGACCAAAAAACACCTAAAAATTGGTCAAAAGTATAAAGCTCTACTGCTAAAAGAATTCCACCAAATCTTTACATATTTTCAGCGAATGTTACCCTACCCAAACACAATTTATTGTAAATGTTTCGTTCTTCTACGACAAGTTCCTATGACACAAGTCATCTCAGCCAAGACCCTCCTCTCAACCAATGGTGAAAACTGTCGAAATATCCAAAGTCTAGGCCAAAATATCTCCAATGCCGGAGCATTCTTCAAAAAACGGAGCATACCGTCTACAAGGCGAGACTTCATACTAACATTATCTGCAAAAAAGTCTTTGGGCACTCATTTAATTATTCCACAGGAAGACTACAAACACGTCGTCCACCACAGGGTACCAGTGTCAATTTTGTTTTCATTATAACGCGCTAATTCAGTAATTATCGCACAGCAACGGACAGACAATGCCACAAAATGATTACACCCCATACACTTTAATGAAATAGAACCATTTCTATCTAATCGCCCAATTAAAAAAGGGCGCACCTCAGGGTACCCACGTCAATCTTTTTTTTTTTTCATTATAACGCGCTAATTCGGTAATGATAACGTAGCAATACACAGAAAATGCCTCAAAATGGTTACATACTATAAACTTTAATGAAATTGAACCATTTCAAAAGCTTTTGTTTGTCCTAAGCCATGAAAATAAGAATCGGCGGCCTTATGATGACCTCTATTATTGTATAAGTGAACTTCGTTACGAAATTTACTCTTCACTAAGTCAAACACCTGAGTCACAGAACACCATCAAAATGCTTACATTGTCTGTATTTGAACTTTAGAATGATTGTGTAATAAAATTTGCTTCTGTTCGTCTAGTAAAGGAATAGTACAATAGATTGAAACTTGCACGCCACATTGCATCTTGATACAGAAAACGTTATCCAAACGAATTCCCTTTTCTGAAAATAAATTGATTTGCTTGCGACTCAATGTCGGTTGCTTAATACGCCTGAAAAGGAGAAAAAAAGGAGAAAAGCGTTTGGCTGTTTACAGCCAAACGCTTCTTTTTTTCTAATCCCTGGAAATTACTCCCTGGCAAGCGCATACATCTTTGTAATTTGATAGCTTGATTCGATTTTCCATAATAACTACAAACAGAACAAACTTTCGCTTTAAAATACAAATTGACGCGAACGAATTGAGTTGTTTTGTTTTCTTCTTTAAAAACGGAGTTTTTACATGTATGAAGGTTTGGCGATCGTAAATGTTGAATTTGGGCTTAGGATATGTAATAGACCTAATAGCCCAGTGTTGAGATTCACACGCTTTCTATAAATAGACCATTGATTGGAAAAAGCGTGCACGCGCATGGATATTTCAAAGTGTTCCTCACATGCGCCGATCGGTTAGAGGCATAGGATGTAGAGGTGAAAGGTCTCTCTTTAAAAACGATGTCGCAGTTCTCGTGCTCTTTTGCCGTGCACTGTACCAGTGAGTGTGACGTATGAACTAGATACGTACACAGTTTTTTCCATTAAATTCTTGCGTCAGTGATGTAAAGGCGCACTTGAGAGAATTGCAAACAACACAATCATGTGTAGCCTCTGAGAGAGAGCTGATACTTGCGCGTGTCGGTTTGTTTGACGAGGAGGGTAAGAATATGGTTATTTGCCCAAAGCATCGCGTTTTACTTGGAGCAAAGTATTGTCCTTCAGAAAAATGCCAGCATCCGCTTCATGGTCGCCGTAAAGAGAAACGTGGGACGTTTTGGTTCCCGTAGGCTCAGGTAAGTGTGATCACTGAAGGTAAGTACGGTACTTATACATGCTTTGGTTTCTTAATGATTTCGCCTCATGTAAGGGAATCAAGACAAGATTCCAATCACTGCATTCCAGTATTTGTCAGTGGAACTTGGGTTCTTTTTCAATCATTAGTGGGATTCTGGATTCCACCTGCAAAATTTTCTAGGATTCCGGAATCCGGATTCCCTTACATGGGGCAAATGATTGACTAATACACAAGTTTAGTCAATTGTTTGATCAATATATGCACAAGTGGGAAAGGAGTTTTTATTTCTTTCTTTTTTTTGTGGCGGGGNCAGAAAATGCCTCAAAATGGTTACATACTATAAACTTTAATGAAATTGAACCATTTCAAAAGCTTTTGTTTGTCCTAAGCCATGAAAATAAGAATCGGCGGCCTTATGATGACCTCTATTATTGTATAAGTGAACTTCGTTACGAAATTTACTCTTCACTAAGTCAAACACCTGAGTCACAGAACACCATCAAAATGCTTACATTGTCTGTATTTGAACTTTAGAATGATTGTGTAATAAAATTTGCTTCTGTTCGTCTAGTAAAGGAATAGTACAATAGATTGAAACTTGCACGCCACATTGCATCTTGATACAGAAAACGTTATCCAAACGAATTCCCTTTTCTGAAAATAAATTGATTTGCTTGCGACTCAATGTCGGTTGCTTAATACGCCTGAAAAGGAGAAAAAAAGGAGAAAAGCGTTTGGCTGTTTACAGCCAAACGCTTCTTTTTTTCTAATCCCTGGAAATTACTCCCTGGCAAGCGCATACATCTTTGTAATTTGATAGCTTGATTCGATTTTCCATAATAACTACAAACAGAACAAACTTTCGCTTTAAAATACAAATTGACGCGAACGAATTGAGTTGTTTTGTTTTCTTCTTTAAAAACGGAGTTTTTACATGTATGAAGGTTTGGCGATCGTAAATGTTGAATTTGGGCTTAGGATATGTAATAGACCTAATAGCCCAGTGTTGAGATTCACACGCTTTCTATAAATAGACCATTGATTGGAAAAAGCGTGCACGCGCATGGATATTTCAAAGTGTTCCTCACATGCGCCGATCGGTTAGAGGCATAGGATGTAGAGGTGAAAGGTCTCTCTTTAAAAACGATGTCGCAGTTCTCGTGCTCTTTTGCCGTGCACTGTACCAGTGAGTGTGACGTATGAACTAGATACGTACACAGTTTTTTCCATTAAATTCTTGCGTCAGTGATGTAAAGGCGCACTTGAGAGAATTGCAAACAACACAATCATGTGTAGCCTCTGAGAGAGAGCTGATACTTGCGCGTGTCGGTTTGTTTGACGAGGAGGGTAAGAATATGGTTATTTGCCCAAAGCATCGCGTTTTACTTGGAGTAAAGTATTGTCCTTCAGAAAAATGCCAGCATCCGCTTCATGGTCGCCGTAAAGAGAAACGTGGGACGTTTTGGTTCCCGTAGGCTCAGGTAAGTGTGATCACTGAAGGTAAGTACGGTACTTATACATGCTTTGGTTTCTTAATGATTTCGCCTCATGTAAGGGAATCAAGACAAGATTCCAATCACTGCATTCCAGTATTTGTCAGTGGAACTTGGGTTCTTTTTCAATCATTAGTGGGATTCTGGATTCCACCTGCAAAATTTTCTAGGATTCCGGAATCCGGATTCCCTTACATGGGGCAAATGATTGACTAATACACAAGTTTAGTCAATTGTTTGATCAATATATGCACAAGTGGGAAAGGAGTTTTTATTTCTTTCTTTTTTTTGTGGCGGGGGGGGGGGGGGGGGAGAGGGGTAAGGATAAAAGATCTTGTAAGAAATTAATTGTGAGTTATAGGGTATGATATTTATTTCGCAAAAGAATAACAGACAAACAGACAGACAAATAAGCGATTGTGTGGTGAATTTTTATCTACAAGAGTTTTATTCGATTTTGAAATTTACCAGGTCAATTTGCCCTTCCGTTGTTTTCCTTTTTGTATCTTAGCTAGTTACCTTCTAACGGTAGCCCACAGTTATAGGTTCCTGCTTCTAATCGGTCATTTTTCCCCAGGAGAGGCGGGGGATAGGGCAATTCTCTCAAAAGCTACAGTGACTATACAGATATTTTTTTGCGAAACCTCAGGGCCAGTTCTTTTAATATAGAGCCCGGTGTCAATTAAGAATGAGTGTTCTAGAACGGGGCGTGAAAATAAGCGCCTCACTGAAAAATTATCAGATTTTTGTTTAAAATCCGCATTGGAATTGCCGATAATTATACATTTAGTGATGGCCTACGCTGGCCTACCACATCGCGCGGACTTCTAGTATTTTTTAAAGCACTAATCACTAATACTTCGAATTCCAACAGGGTCAAATTTACAACCCCAATTTCAGAAGAAGAGGTTTCTGTTTCCGCAAATATATGTTCTTTTTTTTTTGAAAGGCGGGGCCCTCTGGAGCCCTCTTTTGACTAGGAATGGCGGCACAAACCTATTTAGAATCTAGCTTGGTAAAATCCCTCCCACTAGGAAATATTAGAATGCCTAACTAGATGCAGGCAAGCCGCTTATTGCTTGGGAAAAGTTCCAAACAATTTGTTCTATCCAGCCTGTTACCACAAACTAACAAATCATAATGCTACCAAAACTCATTTTAGGTTTATTCTTGTACCCAGGGGTTTGTAGACAATGCCGTGGTTACCATCTAAGAACTGTAGGTTCTACTGACGCGGATTCCGAAGTGCAAGATCCCGTACTGGCGTCCATGTCTCACCCAGAGCCTCAGATTCACGAGCCTTCATGTTCTACGGAGTCCGCAGAGGATATAGTAGAGCAACCAAAGTTACTACCGCCTGCTACGCAAGAATCGGAACAATTGTCTGCTGCCCCTGTCCTTTACGTAAGATTCCAAGAAGATCTCATAAGTGAGGTAAGTTTTTCTTCGGCAGTGTGTGAATGAGTTTACTGATTTAAAAGGGGCGGGACGTTTGCGTCACTTACTTTGTAATTGTTGTCATAATTTACTGATCTTTAGAACAAATCAGGGAGGGAGGGAGAGGGGTTGTTGTTGCTTGATGTATTGGGCATAATGTTGGTTCTCACACTAATTTGCATAGACTTTGAATAAAATCGGAATTCGTTAAAATTGTTTGTTATACTGAGAGTCACTGTATGGTTGAGTCAGAAAATTGTCTCCTCTCAAAGAATGCCTGTCTTCGAGTATGCTTTGCGGTCGTGGTTTTGAATGTTGCTGTCTTCGAGTATGCTTTGCGGTCGTGGTTTCGAATGTTGCTCACTCATATTTATCGAACTTCATTTGAAGCTACATTGTATAGCGCGAAATATGATAAAATATAATCATCAATAACTCGTAACAATTACTATTCAAAGCTCATTCTACTCCTGTTATTAATCTTAGAGAGGTTTGAGCAGATTCGTATAGCGTTCATAAACAAAGCCAACGGGCGCAAAGCATACCAGCCAACAGGAATTATTTAATGTAAAACTTGTGCACGCTGACTATACGGTAATAATGCCAAACTGATGGAATAATTAGATATTTCGTATACACAGTTTTTTTCTCTTCCAGCATAGCGATTGCGACTCAGACCCCAGCGACCGCCATTTAGACGCTTTGTCGCGGACATCTTCTGGATCCCAGGAGTCTCTTGGCGCAGCAGAGACGTCAGCAGAATGGCAGCCCACCCTTCAAATACAGCACCGCCTTTACTACCTTAATAATTTCCTCAGAATGGCTACTGAAGGCAGGGTAAGCCCGGTGAGGTCACAGTGCCAATGTGACGTTCTTACTATGTCATCCAGAACCCAACGCTACTACCGGAAAAAAGCGGAGCAGGCTATCGAAGGCGTGCTTGAATCCATTGCCCCTGGCAACGCCTCCTGGCTCTATCACCAAGTCATGCAACGGCGGATTCGTTTACAAGCGGCCGAGGGTATAGGCATATGGCATATGGCACCCGAACTCTTAAACTGGAGAGTGGAGAGAGCTTAGAAATCCCGAACATAGTGCGCACAGTTATATCCTCCCACCTAGTGCGCATGTACCTGAACTTTTGTGTAGAGTCCAATTTTGAGCCTCTCGGACGCTCCACGCTCTTCAATATAATCAAGGTACGGATTATAAAACGTTCGTAAAGGACGCATTTTGATCAGGGTTAATTGTAGTTGTAGTGATGGAGTAGTAGTACTAATGGTTTGCATTTAGAAATTAGTTTGAAACCAAAGCATTTTTGTTTCTGTTCAGGTTTGTGGGGCTTCACTAAAGAAATCGTTAGCCGGTCTCGAAAGCACTCAGACAGATGGGGTACAGGCGCTCGCCACTCTTGAAGACACCACTCGTCAACTCAAACAAGCCGGTGAGATACAAACACCTTCCATTATTACTGTAGGTGCACGAGTTGTTACAACTTTTAATAAGCTGACGGAGTATCAATATTTATTATTGTGTGTATTTTTTCTATCACAGGACTGGATAGCACAATGGCCGATAACATTCTAATGCGACTCAAAGCTGGTCGGCAGTATCTGAAGACGGATTTCAAGATCCACACAGCCAGCGAATCCCCGTGCACAGATCACTGCAGAGTGTTCGCCCTCAGTAGGACAGAGAAAGAGTACAACGGTCAGTGCCAACATCAGCATACCATCACCTGTGACCGGGGTGAAGACCTAAAGAATGCTGTCTTAGATCTGCAACTAGCGTTGGATTCAGGTGAAGTACATCTAAGGTAAGAACATCTTTGTGACAGAAAAGCAGAGTTTAGCATTTATTGTCAACTAACAACCTAATCCCCAGGGCGCTTTATATGAGTTTAGAAACTTTAAATTGCTTTGGGTGGTTCTAAACCTAATGAACATATGTTTTAAATGAAACGCAGTTTACGAAAAAAGTGAGAGACATCATTATTTTTTTGATAAAACGGCTCCAAAGAAAAATTTCTGACGCTATCGCGCCGTGATGTTGACAAGCTCTACTCTTTCCGTTTTTAGTCCTAATAAACGAGAGGAGTTACAGCATGATCTGAGCTGCGCTGCGCCGAGCATAGAAGATTGGAAGTCGCACGTTCTCCGTTCAGTTCACCAGGATGCGGCCAAGAGCGAAATTGTTGATAGCCTAAAACCATCACAGGTGCTGCTAATAATGGACCGGGCAATGAAGTTTATTCCATTAAGCTTTCGCGAAGCGCAGCGCGACTGGTTTGGAAAGAAGGGGAAGGCCTGGCATCTCTCGGTGGCCATCACTAAAGCAGAAGATGGAACAATTGAGGTAGAAGTCATGTGCCTTCTCTTCTGTCTTTATCGCTCACTGACCACTATAAACTAGTTTCGCGTGAGCGCGGTCTTTGTTGCGCTAACCGATTGCAAAATTGGGTAACTGATAAGAATGCCAGGGCCGGGAAAAGAAGCGAAAGCTTAAATTCGTAATTTCAATATTTCATTGCTTTCGGCACTTATATAAGATAAAACGTTGGCGACGCACCTAAGATGCCGCAAAAGCTCATGGGGCGGAATATATTTTTAATCCAAATGAAAGGCCATAAACATTCTCGAAAAAAGCAGACCTTCCCGGGTGTTACCTCTATTTCAAGTCAAAATGCGCAGTTTAATGCTCCATTAGCCCTTGACTGTGACCAGGTCCCTTGGTGCACTATTCATTCTAAAAAATGCTTTACTATTATGATTTTCAGACACGTACGTATATCCACTTATTTAATGAATGCAATCAAAACTGGTTCAGCGTTGCCTCCATCATCGAAGATTCACTAACCACCATGAAGCGACAGAAATCTTGACTGAATGAAGCTTTCCTGAGATCTGACAACGCAGGCTGTTATCACTGCGCATTTCTTCTTCTCAGTCTCCCAAGCCTTGGACAGCGAGTTGGTGTCCGCATAGCTCGTTATGACTTCAGTGAGGCCCAAGCTGGGAAAGACATATGTGACCGCCGAGCCGCCGCCCTGAAGAGCCACATTAGGCGCTACATTAATGAAGGCAATGACGTCAAGACAGCAGGTGACATGAAAGCTGCTATTGACTCGCATGGGGGCGTGAAAGGCTGCTACTCAGTGGTATGCAAGGTTGACGAAAGGTCCCAAAACATGACCAAGCACTCGCTGAGTGGCATACAGTCTTTGATTAACTTCGTGTTCACTGAAAGTGGAGAGATGATCGCTTGGCGGGCCTGCAATGTCGGACCCGGAAAGGTCTCTTCCTCGGCGTCGCTAGCGCGTCTCGGTGCCCCTCAAGGCTCGAAAAACTTACAAGTTCTCCAGGCATTCAATAGTCCTGACACACTGACTGGTGTCTTCCGTGCATCTTCCAGCACGCAAGAACAGCAGCCCGCAGCACCTCAAACGGACCCTATAGCCGTAGAACGGATTCAGCTTGAAGAAGAAGAGCGTGTGGCCTTTGACTGCCAAGAGGAGGGTTGCATAAAAGTTTACCAAAGTCACAGCAGCCTTCAGTGTCACCTCGAAGCCGGGAAACACCTTCTCGCGTTAGAGAGAGAGTCCACGTAAGACGTGATAAAGAAAAAGTGGGCAGAGACCTGCAAGTCAATTTCTGGTAGCTACGTGGAAGCAGCTCAGCCGCCCACATCTGCATCCGCCTCAGTTTCCCATAGTCAGTCGGAAGACCCGCCGCCAACAGCTGACATGGGCTGGGCATTAAAAAAGACCAAGAAGTCTGTTCATTTCACCACCAAAGTGCGCCAATTTCTGTGTGAAGTCTTCCTTCAAGGAGAGGACACCGGGAATAAAGCAGCGGCTGAGGATGTAGCAGCTCGAATGAGGTCCGTGCAAACCGCTGAGGGAACTAAGGTATTTACCAAAGACGAGTGGCTGACATCTACCCAGATTTCCGGATATTTCAGAAGAATGGCCGCATTAAACCGGAGTGGGGGTCTTCATAGAAGAGAGGAGGCGTGGCCAGTGCCGACAGAACCGGTACCCGAGGGAGGAGAAAGCGAAGATGAGGAGAAAGACCCATATGTGGCTGAAGCTCCCATTATCAGAACACGGCTTCAAATCAGGAGGGAGCTAGAATTGTAACTTTACTTTCAATAAGCGTGTTTGTCTGTTTGATTATATTTATTTTGACTTTCGTCTTTGATAGTTCTTACAAAGGACAGTTCTTCAGGGCACAAGTCACAAAAACACGCAGTTGATTTTGGTTTTAGTATAGCGAGGTCTTTCTGATAAAGTGTTCTGCATCAAGATGCAATGTGGCGTGCAAGTTTCAAGTAAATGTATTATTCCTTTATCGGATGAACAAAAGTCAGTTTCATTATACAATCATTCTAACGTTCAAATACAGACAATGTAAGCATTTTGATAGAGTTCTGTGACCCGCGTGTTTGACTTATCGATGAGTAAGTTCCGTCACGAAGTTCACTTATACAATAATAGAGGTCATCATTAAGCCGTTGATTGTCATTTTCATGGCTTAGGACAAACAAAAGCTTTTTAAATGGTTCAATTTCATTAAAGTTTATAGTGTGTAACCATTTTGCTGCATTTTCTACCTGTTGCTGTCTTTATTACCGAATTAGCGAGTTACGATGAAAAAAAAATGACGTGGGTATCCTGTGGTGGGCCAAGTTTTTTTTTTCTTTATTTTAGTGATTAGATAGAAATGGTTCTATTTCATCAAAGTGTATGGTATGCAACCATTTTGTGGCATTATCTGTCTGTTGCTGTGTCATAATTACCGAAGTAGCACGTTATAATGGAAAAAATTGACGCAGGCACCCTGTGGTGGACGACGTGTTTGCAGTCTTCCTGTGGAATACTTAAATGAGTGCCCAAAGATTTTTCTACAGGTAATGTTAGTATGAAGTCCCGCCTTCTAGACGGTATGCTCCGTTTTTTGAAGCACGCTCCGGCATTGGAGATGTTTTGGCCTAAACTTTGGATATTTCAACAATTTCCACTATTGGGTGAGAGGGGGGTCTTGGCTGAGATGACTTGTGTCAAAGGAACTTGTCGTAGAAGAACGAAACATTTACAATAAATTGTTTTTGGGTAGGATAACATTCACTGAAAATATGAAAAGATTTGGTGGAATTCTTTTAGCAGTAGAGCTTTATACTTTTGACCAATTTTTAGGTGTTTTTTGGTCATTTTTTTTGTAAAAAACAAGGGGGGTGGTCAACTCCCCCCGGTTTTTACCCGGTTTAATTTCCTTAAACTTAGAGTAAAGTAGTTTTGGGTGGACCCTTGAAACTGGCCTAGTTTCATCGAAATCGGTAAGATGGCTTGTGCCGCCCCTGCCTGGTCCTTTCGTGGATGCACTCTTAAATCTCTGTGCCTTAAACGATTAGGATTAATATTAATCTGATAAATATAATCCCACATAGCTCAAATTTGTACAAGTCTCTCAATGAAGAAAATATTCTATTCTAACCACGACAAATTTGCTACTTGTGCTAGTAGTTTGTGAACAAAACTCTTAATTACATTCAGTCAATAACCACACTCCTTATTATACGTTATTATATTTTAGTAGCAGAAGTCGGCAGTTGTCTCAGCTCTGCTGGTAATACAGTTGCAACTGAATTTTTTGTAAAAACACATGCCCACCGCACGGATTCGCTGCCCCAGAGGCGCTTGTTCCTTTTCATTTACTTCTAGGCTCAACATCGCTACCAGCTCTTAACATATGCAAGTGATCGTGTGACTGATGTGATCAGTTTTATGTGCCGTCAGTCCCTTGTTCAGCGTGTAATGTCTGCAGTTTGTCTGTCATAGCTCTGATCTGGATTATAATAGAGATTAATATTAATCCGGATGATTATTATTAATAATAATCTAATCCTTCCAATTTTTGCCGTGCCTTAATCTATTACTGGATTATAATAATCTATTGCTGGATTATAATAATCTATTATTGGATTATAATAATCTATTACCGGATTATAATAACCATATTATAATCTATTATTATTATAATCCACGGATTAATATTAATCCGAGTTGTCCTGCATACAGCAACAAAAGTTTAAATTGTACCCTACCCTCCAAAAGCATACTCACCATCCAAGTATCGCCGCAGACAGGGGGCAAAGCGAAACAGTCTGCAGCTACTCATTCCGAAAATTATAAGAAATCCCAATAACTCAGCCAAGGGATGTCGTAATCATCATTAGTCTGACTACATCAAGCAGCAACGGGAAATGAAGGGGTCTGCTGGGGCTAATATAGACCAAATCTCCCTTAGCAAGCCAATTATCATATCAACCTATAATGTTAGGTCCTTATACCAGCTGGGCAAGTTAAATCGGTCGTGCTGCGGTAGAGGCAGGCGGTAAAGGTAGACCTTGAAATCATTGGTGTAGAAGATTATCGCCTTATCTTATTCACTCCGATAACAGAAATGTGGTCTGATGAGAAGAACTGGCTGTTCATCCATAATTCCGTTTCCAAATCCCGAGAGGGTGGCGTGAGCCTCCTTGTTAAAAGACAATTGGTTAAAAGCATCTCCTGTTCAAAACGCATCTTGGACCGTATCATGTCTGTATTTTTCAACGGCAACCCGAGACTCGTGGTCACAGTAGTGTAAGCTCCAAAAGAGTTGACTAACACCGACGATGAGTATCAATTCTAAAACCTGTTCAACACCCATACATCCGACAATATCAACTGTCACGATATTAATCTTGTTATTGGAGATTTAAAAGCTAGACTAGGCCAAGGCAGTCACGAAAAAGCTCCGAGAGTTGTGGGTCCTCATAACAAATATTAACGGCGAAAGACTTAATTTCAGCTTTGCAACTAACATTCGACATGATCAATCCAGGGACTAACTCCATCAGGAATTATAGAACCTACAATATTGTAGAGCTCGACTCCGACCGCCGCATCCTAAGCGCGACTCTTAAAGTTATTCTTAGAGCTACAAAAGGGAAACTTGTAAGTCGCAAATAATACAATTGGAAGAGACTTCGCGAATCCTGTGCTGACATCAGAGTTTCAGCTAAAGCTATCGAACAACTTTTTCTCCATCTCAATGATGAGCCAATAATTATCAGGTACAGTCAGTTTTAAAGTATAACAAGAAGCACTGCAGAAGAGGTAGTTGGCGAGTGCGTTTCAAATGGCAGCGATTGTGTGGTGAATTTTTATCTACAAGAGTTTTATTCGATTTTGAAATTTACCAGGTCAATTTGCCCTTCCGTTGTTTTCCTTTTTGTATCTTAGCTAGTTACCTTCTAACGGTAGCCCACAGTTATAGGTTCCTGCTTCTAATCGGTCATTTTTCCCCAGGAGAGGCGGGGGATAGGGCAATTCTCTCAAAAGCTACAGTGACTATACAGATATTTTTTTGCGAAACCTCAGGGCCAGTTCTTTTAATATAGAGCCCGGTGTCAATTAAGAATGAGTGTTCTAGAACGGGGCGTGAAAATAAGCGCCTCACTGAAAAATTATCAGATTTTTGTTTAAAATCCGCATTGGAATTGCCGATAATTATACATTTAGTGATGGCCTACGCTGGCCTACCACATCGCGCGGACTTCTAGTATTTTTTAAAGCACTAATCACTAATACTTCGAATTCCAACAGGGTCAAATTTACAACCCCAATTTCAGAAGAAGAGGTTTCTGTTTCCGCAAATATATGTTCTTTTTTTTTTGAAAGGCGGGGCCCTCTGGAGCCCTCTTTTGACTAGGAATGGCGGCACAAACCTATTTAGAATCTAGCTTGGTAAAATCCCTCCCACTAGGAAATATTAGAATGCCTAACTAGATGCAGGCAAGCCGCTTATTGCTTGGGAAAAGTTCCAAACAATTTGTTCTATCCAGCCTGTTACCACAAACTAACAAATCATAATGCTACCAAAACTCATTTTAGGTTTATTCTTGTACCCAGGGGTTTGTAGACAATGCCGTGGTTACCATCTAAGAACTGTAGGTTCTACTGACGCGGATTCCGAAGTGCAAGATCCCGTACTGGCGTCCATGTCTCACCCAGAGCCTCAGATTCACGAGCCTTCATGTTCTACGGAGTCCGCAGAGGATATAGTAGAGCAACCAAAGTTACTACCGCCTGCTACGCAAGAATCGGAACAATTGTCTGCTGCCCCTGTCCTTTACGTAAGATTCCAAGAAGATCTCATAAGTGAGGTAAGTTTTTCTTCGGCAGTGTGTGAATGAGTTTACTGATTTAAAAGGGGCGGGACGTTTGCGTCACTTACTTTGTAATTGTTGTCATAATTTACTGATCTTTAGAACAAATCAGGGAGGGAGGGAGAGGGGTTGTTGTTGCTTGATGTATTGGGCATAATGTTGGTTCTCACACTAATTTGCATAGACTTTGAATAAAATCGGAATTCGTTAAAATTGTTTGTTATACTGAGAGTCACTGTATGGTTGAGTCATAAAATTGTCTCCTCTCAAAGAATGCCTGTCTTCGAGTATGCTTTGCGGTCGTGGTTTTGAATGTTGCTGTCTTCGAGTATGCTTTGCGGTCGTGGTTTCGAATGTTGCTCACTCATATTTATCGAACTTCATTTGAAGCTACATTGTATAGCGCGAAATTTGATAAAATATAATCATCAATAACTCGTAACAATTACTATTCAAAGCTCATTCTACTCCTGTTATTAATCTTAGAGAGGTTTGAGCAGATTCGTATAGCGTTCATAAACAAAGCCAACGGGCGCAAAGCATACCAGCCAACAGGAATTATTTAATGTAAAACTTGTGCACGCTGACTATACGGTAATAATGCCAAACTGATGGAATAATTAGATATTTCGTATACACAGTTTTTTTCTCTTCCAGCATAGCGATTGCGACTCAGACCCCAGCGACCGCCATTTAGACGCTTTGTCGCGGACATCTTCTGGATCCCAGGAGTCTCTTGGCGCAGCAGAGACGTCAGCAGAATGGCAGCCCACCCTTCAAATACAGCACCGCCTTTACTACCTTAATAATTTCCTCAGAATGGCTACTGAAGGCAGGGTAAGCCCGGTGAGGTCACAGTGCCAATGTGACGTTCTTACTATGTCATCCAGAACCCAACGCTACTACCGGAAAAAAGCGGAGCAGGCT